GCTGATCAGAAGGTTGGCGGTTTGAATCCCCGCGATGGGGTGAGCTCCCGTTGCTCAGTCCCAGCTCCTGCCAACCTAGCAGTTTGAAAGCACATCAAAGTGCAAGTAGATAAATAGGTACCGCTCTGGCAGGAAGGTAAACGGCGTTTCCGTGCTCTGCTCTGGTTCGCCAGAAGCAGCTTAGTCATGCTGGCCACGTGACCCGGAAGCTGTACGCCGGCACCCTTGGCCAATAAAGCGAGAAGAGCGCCGCAACCCCAGAGTTGGCCACAACTGGACCTAATGGTCAGGGGTCCCTGACCTTTTATAGGTATAGTATTACATGCTGTAAACTCAAGACAGATGTGCCTAGTAAGCGACAGATGTGCAGGGTAAGCGAATGCCATATCCTCAACTCCTCCACAACTCCACAACTGCCCCTCCTCCCTCTGTGTACCCCCTAAGTCAGTTCTAGAGGTTCTCCCAACCCTTTGGAGCAGATCTGGCAAGAGGGAGAAGGAGCTGTGCAAATGGAAATCCTTGAGCTGATGGGAGAGGTTAGTTAAATACCAGCCATAACCTTTCCACCCTCTAGGATAAAGAGTTATGCGTAACACAAAAGTAGCTGTTAGGGAAAGTCATAAATTTCACCCTCTCTGCTCTTTCTTTTCATACCTCTCAATCAAGCACGTACAATTCCTGCTGTTACGTCAACAGTCACCATATAAATGAGGTGGAAAGGCAGAGCAGGGAAGAAAAAAGCCTCTGAAGTCATGCAAAATTAGTTTCTGATAAGGTTTCGGGGAGTTTACATTATGCTGTCTAATGATTTATGACTATTTGAATCTCACCATTCCTGTAATTAATACCGCCGGATGCTTTCTGTTTGGAGCAGTGTTAATCATAATAATGCAAATGCAGAGGGGCTTTGCGTTTTGCATCGCGCCCAAAACAAAAAACAAAAAAAAGCAGCCTCAGTATTCAAAACCCTTCTCAGTGGAGCGGCTCGCATTGCATAGGTGAGTGAATGCGCACCAAAGGTAAAATGACTGAATTAATAGGAGCCAGAATAAGGGAGAAAAAGGGGGACTAAAAAAAACCCCACTTGGCTCATAGCTCTGTTTTTTCTTCCCCACCTTGTTAGAAGACCGTGACTGTTCAGCCTTTTAAACCCAAAATAAATTATTGCAATGCATTTGCTAATTATATTGTACCCAAGTTCTGTGTAGTGCAAATTACACTGATGATGGATTTGGAATGAGGTCTCTTCATGCTTATTTATAGCATTTTCAAAAGCCACAGAGCTCAAATGACGGGTGCTGAAACCAAGGGCACAAACTGTCACAGTTGCCACACATGGATGCGCAGCCCCAAGTCTCCTGCATCTTTCAGAGCTCCACAGCAGCCACACATCCAACAGCTGTAACTTTTCTTTGCAGCACTGAGATGATGATGATGATGATGATGATGATGATATATTATTATTTATACCCCGCCCATCTGGCTGGGTTTCCCCAGTCCCCAGCCACTCTGGGCAGCTCCCAACCAAATATTAAAAACACAATATAGCATTAAACATTAAAAACTTCCCTAAACAGGGCTGCCTTCAGATGTCTTAAGATCATTGCTTTTTTGCACCTGCTGCATTTCAGCTGGTCATGAAGACTTGTCCTGGAAATCTAATTGGTATGCAAACTAAGTGGGTAACTGCTGCCTAACATAAGTTGCTCTGAGCTTTCTGGAGGCTTAGCAAATGATAGAATGAAAATGCATGGCAACTGAGGACAAAGGGCCTTGACATTGGAGAAAGTTATAACCCTCTCCAGGCATGTAGACAGAACATCCAAGAGCAGAAACTGAGGATGAGGACAGCAGCATGTGTCCCAAACCTCTCCGATGCCCTGGCACTACCAAGCTTACTGCACTGGGCTCTGCCACCAGGGTTTCCAATATGCCCAGCCAAACTTCCTTGGAAGCCCCTCCAGATCTTCCTGCTCAATGCAAAGGCCTTGGATAAAACAGAGGGTGTCAGGCATGGCTTTCCCTGATCTCCTCCATTAGCAAATGCCTAGAGCAGCGGTTCTCAACCTGTGGGCCCCCAGATGTTGTTGGACTACAACTCCCATCATCCCTGAGCTCTGGCCTTGCTAGCTAGGGGTGATGGGAGTTGTAGTTCAACAACATCTGGGGACCCACAGGTTGAGAAAGGCTGGCCTAGAGGGAGCTACAGTTGTCAGGCTTGGCTCCTGTGCACTTGTGGACAGGGCAAGAAATTGGTCTATGTATAGTTAAAGCTATGGTTTTCCCAGTAGTGATGCATGGAAGTGAGAGCTAGACCATAAAGAAGGCTGATTGCCAAAGAATTGGTGCTTTTGAATTATGGTGCTGGAGGAGACTCTTGAGAGTCCCATGGACTACAAGAAGATCAAACTTCTCCATTCTGAAGAAAATCAGCCCTGAGTGCTCACTGCAAGGACAGATCGTGAAGCTGAGGCTCCCATACTTTGGCCACCTCATGAGAAGAGAAGACTCCCTGGAAAAGACCCTGATGTTGGGAAAGATGGAGGGCCCAAGGAGAAGGGGATGACAGATGGTTGGACAGTGTTCTCGAAGCTACGAACATGAGTTTGACCAAGCTGCAGGAGGCAGTGGAAGACAGGAGTGCCTGGCGTGCTCTGGTCCATGGGGTCACAAAGAGTCAGACACAACTAAACAACAACAACAACATGTAGCAAGATGTGGGAGCTTAAATTCTCTCCCTGTTGTGCCTATTAAGGTAGCCTTCTTCAGCCCTGGCTTCCCAGAAATGGCTTTAGACTATGACTGCCATCATCCCTGGACATTGGCTAAGGTGGCTGGGGATGGTGGCAGCTGTAGTTCAATGAAACACCTGGAGAGTGGAGGTTTCAGAAGACTGTCATTTCCAGCTGAGTCGCTCTTCAAGAGCACTACTTAAACACACACTCATTGGCAGATTTCGCCACTCCTTGTTGGTGAAGTAAGGTCATCTAGAGGAGTGGTGTTTAGTTGTTCCCACCCACCGCCCCGGTTACAGAGGCCAAACTGACCTCGAACCAGAAGCTGGGGGTTTAGTGTTGCTGGTTCCATTGCTTCGGGCAACTCCTCCAGCAGAGTTTCCTCCAGACATCTTCACTTTTGACTTTCAGGCGTCTCTTGGAGACTTTATTATGCCAAGAGCTGTATTCAGAATTAAGCAAATACTAATCCCAGGTGAGCCGCTCACGCTTAGGATTATTTTGCATTGTTTTGTGGTATCTTAATGCTTTGTGATGCTGCCTCAAGATAGCTCGTTTGGTTTCGGAGGGGCAGGCTACAGATCTCTCTGATGTTGTTTTGCTAAACCATGATGCAAGAGGTGCAATCGCTCTGTGTCGTGCTTTCGTGCTTCGTTGTTCTTTCAATGTTTCCTTGTGGGATGGTGTCTGTTGTAACCAGAGGGAGGTTGGTTCAATCTCATTTACTAACTTTGGCAAATGCTTTGGTGGTGGGGATTTGGGTGAGCTATTGCATATTACCTTGATAGTTTAAATGAGTAGGTGGTGTATACATATTTTTATTTAAAACATTTAGAACGGTTTTTAGTTTTCATTTGTGACTGGGGATATGGAACCTCTAGAGCTTCTAGGGATTCCCAAACTTGAGTCTCCAGCTATCGTTGGACTACAGCTCCCATCATCCCTAGCCAGCAGAACCAGTGATCAAGGATTATGGGAACTGTAGTCCAAAAAACAGCTTCCCAAACCAAATTTGGGAAACCCTGTTCTACAGGAAGAGTCGTAGCTCAGTGGTTGAGCAAGTGATTTTCATGCAAGAATTCCCATGACATTTCCTGTCTGTTACCCTAGAGTAGCCTTTCCCAACCTTTGCCTTTGCTTGCAAAATCCCCATGTGTTTCACCTGAGGAGGATCTCAAAATTTACTTTGATTTTATTCATTTCTGCTTTAGACCAGCCTTACTCGACCTTGGGTCACCAGATGTTGTTGGACTATAACTCTAATAATAATAATAATAATAATAATAATAATAATAATAATAATAATTTATTATTTGTACCCCGCCCATCTGGCTGGGTTTCCCCAGCCACTCTGGGCGGCTTCCATAGAAACCAAAATACACTAAAATATCATACATTAAAAACTTCCCTGAACAGGGCTGCCTTAAGATGTCTTCTGAATGTCAGGTAGTTGTTTATCGTTTTGACATCTGATGGGAGGGCGTTCCACAGGGCGGGCGCCACTACCGAAAAGGCCCTCTGCCTGGTTCCCTGTAGCTTTGCTTCTCGCAATGAGGGAACCGCCAGAAGGCCCTCGGCGCTGGACCTCAGCGTCCGGGCAGAACGATGGGGGTGGAGACGCTCCTATCATCTCTGGCCACTGGTCCTACTGCCTAGGAATGATGGGTCCAGCCCTGTGTGTGGCATTAGGTGCTATTCCAGTGATTCTTTCTCTGAATGAAAGAGATCATAATATAAGGAAACTCAATTTTCCATTCATTGTGAAGGAAATAAGCCATGTTTTTGCTTAAAGGTTTTTTAATAAAAAAAAATAAGGATCCAAAAATCACAACCTTTTGGAACCATTTTCAGACAATGTAAGAATCCTTTCTACCACACCCGCAAAACCAAATAATATGAAACCCTCAAACCAGCCAGGGGGCATGGTGACTCCATATGGAAACAACCCAGTAGACCGGATGTTCAACCAACCTTTGAGATGCTCTGCTTCTTTGATGCTTGCATCTTCCATTCATCTGCTCATATCACTGAGATTTTAATGAGATTGTAAAGCGCTAACTGTATCAGGGGACAAGATTGCTGTTCTATAATTCAGCTAAATCAGTAGCTGTTTTGAATTCCCGGCTTCCCCTGAAGAAGTATCCCATGGCTGCTGCTATTATTCTTATTAATATGATTGCTCCACTTCCTGCTTCCCAGCCTAAAAGAAATAACTGAAAAGGCCAAACTCCTTATCGTATTTCTTTATTTCCTCTCCCCCGACAGGTAAACTGCAATCAACACATGTCCAGGTTAAGGCTGCATACTTCAAGGATCTTTTGATGGATTATTCCTAGATCTTTCCAACAGGTAAATAACCACATGGTTGAATTCTAAAGCCATTCTAATGGGCTTGGCAATGCTGTTGTTCATTCTGCCATGGAGGGAATGCTTTGCGCAGCCTTCGTAGCTGCACATCTGTGCGCCGTTTGATAAAGGGAAGGGAAGCTGGGGCGATGATTGCTTGAAGGTCCTTCGGTTCCCGACATCATACGGTAAATATTGCACATCGGCTATTAGTCAGATTAGCTAATGCTTCTTAATACCAGTTTGCTGGAAACCTCAGGAGGCTTGTCTTGTGTTTTTATGTATCTGTTGATGCAAGAGGAGAAACCAATAATCCTTTTCAAGAAACCAGTGGACTCAAGTCTCTCTGTATGTAAAAGAAGGAGCTAGAACAGGCATAGGCCACCTCGGCCCTCCAGACGTTTCGAGACTACAATTCCCATCATCCCTGGCCACTGGTCCTGTTAGCTAGGGATCATGGGAGTTCTAGTCCCAAGACGTCTGGAGGGCTGAGGTTGCCTGTGCCTGAGCTAGAATGAGGATTGGGCATGTCGTGTGTGAGAGGAGAAAGATTGTGCAAGGTCTAGCAGACTACAGAGAATAGCAGCTGCGTCAACAGAAGCATGGGCGTAGCCAAGGGTGGGGGGCAAGGAGGGGCAGCTGCCCCCCAAATCAATTTTTAAAAATCAATAAAAATACATAGCAAACTGAGGCTCTGCCCCTGCTAACAAAAATCCTGGCTATACCCATGAACAGAAGTATAGTATCCAGATCAAGGGAAGTGATAGTCCCACTCTATTCTTCCTTGGTCAGACCCCACGTAGTCCTGTGTCCAGATCTGGGCACCACAGTTTAAGGAGGATGTTGACAAGCTGAGACATGTGCAGAGGAGGGCGACCAAGATGATCAAGGGTCTGGAAATGAAGCCTGATGAGGAATGGTAGAGGTATGTTTCGCCTGGAAAAGAGGAAAATGAGAGGAGATAGGAGAGCCATCTTCAAATATTTAAAGGGCCGTCACATGGAGGATAGGGACGCGGGTGGCGCTGTGGGTAAAAGCCTCAGCGCCTAGGGCTTGCCGATTGAAAGGTCGGCGGTTCGAATCCCCGCAGCGGGGTGTGCTCCCATTGTTCGGTCCCAGCGCCTGCCAACCTAGCAGTTCGAAAGCACCCCCGGGTGCAAGTAGATAAATAGGGACCGCTTACTAGTGGGAAGGTAAACAGCATTTCTGTGTGCGGCTCTGGCTCGCCAGATGCAGCTTTGTCACGCTGGCCACGTGACCCGGAAGTGTCTGCGGACAGCGCTGGCCCCCGGCCTCTTGAGTGAGATGGGCGCACAACCCTAGAGTCTGTCAAGACTAGCCCGTACGGGCAGGGGTACCTTTACCTTTACCACATGGAGGATGGAGCAAGCTTGTTTTCTCCTGGTCCGGTGGGTAGGACCCGAGCCACCTGCCTCTTTGCTTTTCTCAACAACTCCACATCTGTGGAGGTAGAACATAGCCATCAGGGTTAGTAGCCAAATTGGAGAGGCTGTGTTAAGGTGCCACAAGACCCGTTGCTTTTGTTGCAGCTGAGTAAGGTGGTCACCAGGGACGTGGATAGCGCTGTGGGTTACACCACAGAGCCTAGGGCTTGCCGATCAGAAGGTTGGCGGTTTGAATCCCCGTGATGGGGTGAGCTCCCGTTGCTCAGTCCCAGCTCCTGCCAACCTAGTAGTTTGAAAGCACGCAAGTGCAAGTAGATAAATAGATACCGCAACAGCGGGAAGGTAAACGGCGATTCCGTGCACTGCTCTGGTTCACCAGAAGCGGCTTAGTCATGCTGGCCACATGGCCTGGAAGCTGTACACCGGCTCCCTTGGCCAGTAAAGCGAGATGAGTGCCGCAACCACAGAGTCATCCGCGACTTAACGGTCAGGGGTCCCTTTACCTTTAAGGTGGTCACCCTTCTGAAAATTGCTGCACTGAAGAGTTTTAAAGACTTTTGCAGACTGGCAGACATTATGGAAATATTTGGCCCTGGTGTGGCAGGGAGGGCATTGCTTGAATTTTTTTAAAAAATCCAAAGCACTCTCTGAAGCATTTGTGGTGATTTAATACTGCTTCTTCTGTCTAAATTGCAAAAAAAGCGGCACCCCTGCCGTGCTAAAGGAAGTAACCCAGGCAAGTGAGTGGGGCACCCTTCCGGCAATGTCTCTGTTCGAAATAAATAAATAGATCTGGTTCTGTAGACGGCAAACAGGCTATTTTCAATTTAGCATTTCGGGAATTCCCTTGGGGGGGCTGCACTTGATGAGCCACTAGCAAAAGGGGGTGGAGAGGGGGGGAAGACACGCTTACTCGCTCAGTGTCTGCACAGGAGCCGCTCGGTCGCTTACTGCAAGGTAATTATGATGCTTTACATCTGTCAGATGTTGTAAGGTGTGGGCCTCTTAAGGATCTGCTATGGCCCACTGCATCTCTCTCTCCTGTGATGATCTGGGCAAACATCTGTTCTTCCTCTTACCAGTAGCAGATTTTCTCTGTATCCGGAAACTGCCTTTTAATTGCCCACACTGTAGTAGTAGTAGTAGTAGTAGTAGTAGTAGTAATAATAATAATAATAATAATAATAATAATAATAATCTGAAGACCTTTTTGTGCCTGCACTCCCCTTTCGTGCCCTGTGTCTCCCTGGTTGGTGTGGGAGGCAGTTTCATTTTGTTGCATTGTATCAGCGTGACAGGGAGGAAACTGAACGGTAAGATTAATAATTATTATTCATAAAAATAATTTATTACTTATACCCCGCCTGTCTGGCCGGGCCTCCCCAGCCACTCTGGGCAGCTCCTGACAGGATATTAAAAACACGATAAAACATCAAACATTAAAAAAACTGCCCTAAACAGGGCTGCCTTCAGATGTCTTCGAAAAGTCCGATAGTTGTTTATTTCCTTGACATCTGATGGGAGGGCGTTCCACAGGACGGGCACCACCACCAAGAAGGCCCTGTGCCTGGTTCCCAGCAACCTCACTTCTCACACTGAGGGAACCATCAGAAGGCCCTCAGAGCTGGGCCTCAGCGTCCGGGCAGAATGATGGGGGTGGAGACGCTCCTTCAGGTCGACTGGGCCGAGGCCGTTTAGGGCTTTCAAGGTCAGCACCAACACTTTGAATTGTGCTCGGGAACGTACTGGGAGCCATTGTAGGTCTTTCAGTTCAGATTTCCCCTCGGCCTCTGAATCTCTAGGTGGCCTCAGGCAAAGACCCTCCTGTCTGCCTCTCAGCCACCCACCCAGCTGCAATGTGGGAAGGAAAACAGCATCCTTTCTTACAGGTGGAGAAGGTGAGAGAAGACCCTAAAGTTCTCCTGACCTCTACTGGAGGGATGTGAGTCATTGTCACCAAGGTCCCTCTCTGCTGAGGCACCTTCTCTGACCCACATCTTGTCATGCCACCTCCAAAGCACTCCTCTTGGGTCCTGTCAGGGAACTGACATCAGAGCGAGAAGAGGAGGCAGGGCTCCCGAACGATGCTGGAGAGGGGAGCAGCAGGGGGGAAGGAATTCAGTGTAACACCAATAGGGAAGAGAGGGAGATGGAGGAATTGGTGACAGGGCTCCCAGACCCTTCACCCGAATCTAGTGGAGAGAGCGCTGGCACGCCCCTGCCTTCCCCTCACTTGCGCAGACGCGTTCCGCGCAGGGAACATAGGAGGAGACTTGGGGTCAAACAGCTTTTATGCTGGAAGAGGTTTAAGAGACGCCCACTGACGGATTCTGCAAGTGACTAACAGGTCACGGAGGGAGAGCTCTGACCCCAAGCATGGATGGGCAAGCAAACTAACTAAACCGAAGGCAATTTACGCACAAGTAACCCCTCACAACCATTACAGGTCCCACTCTACATTATTCAATTATTTGCAAGGCCTTCCTAGGCTCACAAAGATGGTGGTGATCCTTGACGGCTTTGCACATTAATCAGATGCCCACTTTAGCCCGGGAAAGAGAAGAAACTTCTTCCCATTAAGGCAGGCATCCCCAAACTTGGCCCTCCAGCTGTTTTGGGACTACAATTCCCATCATCCCTGACCACTGGTCCTGTTAGCTATGGATGATGGAATTTGTAGTCCCAAAACAGCTGGAGGGCCAAGTTTGGGGATGCCTGCATTAAGGGGTGATAGCAAGTAACCAAAGTAGCTCTAAATCTCTAATTCCCTCCTGGCTGAGACCCGGCAGTCCCCTTCCCTGCTGACCACCTGGCGAAGACCTTTTCATTTCTGCAGGCATTTTAAGCCCTTTTCTATTTTATGGCTAAATTTAAATTTTTACCCGTACTGCATCTTCAGTAACCTTATTGTGCACCGCGCAGAGACTACAGCAGTTGAGCAGTACATAAATTTGTCGAAATCAGATAAGCAGGCTTTTCACTAGGCAAGGCTGGGTCTTCAGTGGCCTATATCACTCCTAATTCTGTTGTGCAGGAGCAGAAATACTTTTTGCATGGAGAGGGAAAATGGGCACAGAATTTGGATAGTTTGAGAGCACCGTGTGTGTGTGTCTGTACACACAGATCAGTAATTGAGTTTCTTTTGTATCTTTTGGACATTTCTGGTGTCATTCTCCCGCAAGCACGCATACATCCTTTGCCTCCTGTTCTTGTAAGCACCTTAATATAGTTACAATAAGCAGAGGATATGATTTCACGCCCTGCAAAGAACTGATATATGTCAGCGATGCTGGGGCAAAGATCCAGTCATTATGCTGTTTGGAAGAAAAAGAGATAACTTCATGTTAGAGTGTAGGTAATAGACTTTTCCTCAGTAAACTACATCTGTCACCAGATATTAATGAAAAGTGCACTGGTGGTTATCGGAGCAGGATCTCTGCTGCAAAATAGTATTTTCCCCCCTGTCTTTCTCGAGGTGTAATAACGTGCCGCAGTGCTACAGCCGTCCCTCGGAAGAGAATTTCAGTATTTTGACAAATGTTAGTGAATTAACGCCTTGTTCCACGCCCATGGGAAATAGCTAAGTATTACTACCAC